GAGGCAGCATATATTTCAATGGTAGTGGGGAGGTCAAAGGTAAAACAGTACCCAGTGAACCAGTCCATGTTAGCATAGTGCTCTTATTTTCAGTAACACAGCCTCAGGAGAGGCATTTCAAAGTTTTGGAATTAGGAAAAAAATTATACTGGAAAACTACCAAACAATGCTGCACATGGAAAAGTGAGCAAGGCCACCTGGGGAAGCCTTGAGGGCCAGATTGGCATACTGATGTATTAGGAAGCAGATTCAGTGTACTGAACCCATGCTTTACCTGTTTATTCTCAGGTTTATTTGGTCGAGATGCTATCAGCCAAAGCAAGTCTGGATATGTATTGCTCATAAAATGTCACACCACTTGTGGAGGTTGGGAGGACATAACAGCATGAAAAGTCCAGATAGATACTATGGAATAATGTCTTTAATGGGACAGGCTATATTGAACAGTATAGAAGTAGATATTTTAATTTTTTAAAAAGAGCGCTTCTGGGAGCAGCATGTAGTTTATTGCCCCCTCCCCAGTTTTAAGATGGTTCAGGCTGAAGGGTGCTATGACAAAATAGACCTATCAGACTGAGGCAACTGTCTCAGGTGGTACATGCTGAAAGCTAAATGTGGCATCCCCAACCATTTCTCAACACCCCCTGAATTTCCCCTTCCTTGGCCCCACGTGTACCATGCAGCCTGTCTACCATTCTTAAATTAGATTGTTGCTTCCATTGTAGTGTAGGAAACCATTGAGTTGCAGGACAGTGTTCCCTCGCTACTTTGCGGTTCGCTTTTTGCAGACTTGCTGTTTCACGGATTTTTGCCTCCCAGTTTATGAATGGTTGCCGTTGCCCAGAGCGGCATTCTAATCCTGCCTCCTGGAGATACAAAGAGGAGATACAAAGCAGTATGTAAATCACGACCTAGTAGCCCCTTCCTTATAGCTAGCAAAAAAAAGTGTGTGCTACCTTTAAATCTCTCCTCGCATCTGCCTCACCCTCAGAACTCAATATACATATATAGCATCCCTATTTCATGGATTTTCACTTTTTGCTGGTGGTCCTGGAACGTAACACCCGCGATAAGTGAGGGAACACTGTATTGAAGTTAAATTCAGCTACCAGTCTAGATGGCTTCTGTATGTGGAATGGGTGGATTCAAGCACCATTTTGTCCTTAGACAGCGATACTCTTGGCCTTGTTGCCAATGCCCTACATATTATTGCCAGGCTAATGCGCTTCCATCCACTATCAGGGTGTGGAGCCTGCCCAGTTCAGCTCCATGCAACCTTAATTCATCTTTGTCTCTCTTTGTCTGCCAAGGTATTCCTTTCCATAATAATAAGGGCTTACTTCAGCCCCTTCAACTGCTGTGCCGTGAGGGTGGTCAGGTTGTGTATTCATATTGCCGCCCACATTCACAGCAATTGATCTGTATCTACCCAAGATAAGAGTTTCACAGGCTGCAATTTTGACTGTGCATTTAGGAGGAGCGAACTATTCCCAGCACATGTTATCCTCCACTAGCAGGGCTTTCCCACTAGCATTTAGCTCTGAAAGTCTAAAAACTAAAATAATTTCAAAACATCTGAAAAGACGAGCCCTACTGAATTTTGTCCCATTCTTCTTATAATGGATTTAAATGTGCTTGCAGTTTCACCACCTCCCTTTCGGCTAGCTGTCTTCCCCTTAGGCTGCATGACATCCCCCATGTTGGTGGGAATAGTCACAGTTTTATTAAGTACCTAATAACACACTGCACGGTGACAGCATGTAATAGCAATAAACTCTCTATGTAATTCTGCCTGACTCATCAAACAAAGTGGGGCAACAGTGATTGATTTGATTTCAGTCAACACAGCTTGAAAGAAGGTTCTTGGTGAGAGAGTGTGAATTTAATGCTCAGAGAGAAATTAGCAAGGCGGCTGCAGAGTTTGCACTACTAAACAACACATACATATAAGGGAGAGAAGGAAAAGAAACATATCTAATTTCTCAGCCTTCTGCATTTCACACTTTGTTACTCAAGTGTGAAATGGGTGAAAACACCTAAAAAGTACAACAATTCTTGCAAATTGGCTTTGATCCTGTTACTTGAGATATCTATGCTTCTGTGTGTACCAAGTTATGGTAACCCTAAGACAAACCTACCATGCATCTGGCCGTCCCTTGGGCAACATGTCTGTAGACGACCAATTCTCTCACACCAGAAGTGACTTGCAGTTTCTCAAGTCGCTTCTGACACACAAAAAGTGTCAAGATACCAATTCTTTTTGATTGGCAATTGCCATTCAAACAACACCATTCTTCACCCTCCTTCCCTTGTTTCCTTATTCCACTGAAGCTTAGCTATACTGTAGCTAGTGCAAGGACAAGGGTGGATTTTCCCTGCAACACCTTCTTGTTGTGCATAATTCCTGTTGTAATACAAATTATTTGAGAGTGACTTGGCCTTGAATGGGCATTTAAGGACTCAATGACATAGGCATTGTCCCCTGTACTCACCCTGAGTATGCTCCTGGCTGTCCCCACAATGTTCCTGCATTTTGGTAAGTATTGCAGAGGCACACATTAAAAGCCAGGAGATGCTCTGGAATTTGTCTGAAACCAAAGAACAACTGCACAGCTTTGGGGCAATGTGAGCAGATGGACTGGTCCGATTTGGGACAGGGACTGGGTACACATTATCCTGATTCCATCCAAAACAATGGTAAAACACCATGCACAGGCTCATATTTTTGTGGTAATGTTCTATTTTTGGACCAGCCAAGGTCAGACTGAAGAGCATTGTCATTTCAGGGTTTGAAACAAAGAAACACACACAAAAAGTATACTTTTAGATAAGGGGAACACATGCATTCCAAACCCAGTAACAACTGGTTAGAAATGGTGGCCAAAAAAAGTAAAAACCACGTACTTTACATAAACTGCTTTAGAATCACACAGTTGGAAGAGATCACAAGCGCTATCCAATACACCCCCCCCCCCGCTTACTTAAGCGATCCCTCGTAGTCCGAGGATGATGGCCTCCAAGTTCGGTGTCCTGGGGGTGGGTTTGTAGGTGGCTGTGGAGCCCTATTCTTGACCTGCATCTTCTCCCACAGTGAGGGCACTGGTTTCCAGGGGGAGGCGGTCTTGGTCGGGGTTGGCTTGGCCCGCCTGCCTCTTGGCACGTTTCTCTCTTTCACCCTCCATTCATGCCTCTTCAAATTCTGCAGCACTGCTGGTCACAGCTGACCTCCAGCTGGAGCGCTCATGGGCCAGGGCTTCCCAGTTCTCAGTGTCTATGCCAGAGTTTTTAAGATTGGCTTGAGCCCATCTTTAAATCTCTTTTCCTGTCCACCAACATTCCGTTTTCCATTCTTGAGTTCAGAGTAGAGCAACTGCTTTGGGAGACAGTGGTCGGGCATCTGGACAACGTGGCCGGTCCAGCGGAGTTGATGGCAGAGGACCATTGCTTCAATTTCCCCCCCTCCCCGCCCTGCTATACAGGAACACACAATCAAGGCCCCCCTGACAGATGGCTGTCCTGCCTTTGCCTTCATTTACATAGACATTTTCATACCTCTGCTATTATGAGAGTCTAATTTTTTTTAACTTAACCATCATAAGATAACCATGTGACATATAATCATATTTTTATATTAGGTGGGATAATAGTATTTTGCATATGACCAATTAGAAGCATTGCATGTTAATAAAGGAAAACTTAATACTATAAATATTTATGGACTCCCAAAAATCCATAAGGACTCCACCCCGCTCAGACCCATCGTGAGTGCCATTGGATCCCCCACATATGACTTAGCAAAATTGCTGCGCAGTTACAAAGCCATATTGGGTATCTCTATTTACCATGGTCCCGGTAGCAGACACCATGGCACTCATCAACCAGAGGTTCCCAGAAGAACAAAGATAAGTAATACAGTACAAGAAACAAATATGCAATATGTACAGTTGACATTTTGAATGGCCCGGTCTACGTACTTGGATCACGGGATTTTAATGTTTTTATTAGGTGTTTTAATTTTTATATTTCATGTTTCAAATGTCTTTTTATTGTATCTTATGATGAATTGTCCCATTGGTTTTATACTTTGTTAGGGTGTTTATTGTAATTTGGTGTATGTTTGTAAGACATTGAATTGTGCCACTATCTATATATATAAAAATGCTCTGTGCATAATGAGTACCTTAAAAACAAAAGAACCAATGAACGAAATCATACCAAATTTGGCAACAAAACGTCTCACAACACAAGGAGTGACCATCACTCAAAAATTATGATTTTGTCATTTGGGAGTTGTAATTGCTGGGATTTATAGTTCACCTACAATCAAAGAGCATTCTGAACTCCATCAACGATGGAATTGAACCACACTTGGCACACAGAACTCCCATGACCAACAGAAAATACTGGAAGGGTTTGGTGGGCATTGACCTTGAGTTTGGGAGTTTTAGTTCACTTATATCCAGAAAGCACTGTGGACTCAAACAATGATGGATATGGACCAAACTTGGCACAAGCACTCAATACGCCCAAATATGAACACAGATGGAGTTTGGGGGAAATAGACCTTGACATTTGGGAGTTGAAGTCACTGGGATTTACAGTTCACCAACAATCAAAGAGCATTCTGAACCCCATGAATGTCAAAATCAGGGCAAACTTCCCACACAGACCCCCATGACCAACAGAAAATACTTAAGGCCCTCCAATCCAACTCTCTTCATCAAGGCAAGAAAATGTAATCAAAGTCTTCCTGACAAAGAGCCATCCAGCCATAGATATAGATTGATATAAATGAGTCACACACACATATATATAGTATCATAGATTTAGAAGGGACCCCTAAAGAAGGACAATGATATGTTGTATGTTCCAGAGCAGGAAAACCAGGCAATCTCCACATCAACACTGACAAAGAAACAGCAAGAAATACTGTTTACCCACAAGCAGAAAGACATTACATATATTAGAAACCAACACTTTCTCATTTCTTTATTTTCCAGATCAGCAGACTGGGCCACAGCAACGCGTGGCAGGGAACGGCTAGTTTCTGTATAAACCTCTTTGAATCCCACCAGAGGTGAGAAAAGCAGTATACAAATAATTTAAATAAAATAAAATAAAATAAAATAAAATTTCCAATACTAATGCTGATTAAAAAACCATTTCAAAAAGTGAGAGAAGGGATAATAGAGCGTAAAAAGACTTTATAAAGGAGCGACTTTTTCAGAAATTTCATTAATCAGTGCATACGAATATTAAACCGCCTGTGCACCAGGTCTCTCAAATATGTAGCTGTTAACAGTTCATACGGCTTATTTAAGAGAGAAAAAAGTTTATTGTGGGGAAAAATATACACACTCCAATGTATCAGATCAGATGTACATACTCAAATGTAGATAGAGCCAGTTCTAACTGTGCTTATTTATTCTGAGAATGAAAACAAACTCTGCATAACCTCAGAGACATTTATATTTGACAGAACACTCTAAATTTATAAAAAAAATTACGTCTTGCATTCTTGGCAGCTCTTAAATTTTTTTGATGATTTGATTGTTAATAGTTTGTTAGATGTTTGCAAGAAACATGATGTTCTTTCCCTTCAGGCCAATGTTGAAAAGCAGCCCCTTATCATATCATTATCATTATAGAAGGGGAGTTTCTTGAATTTACGTGTCTCATATCCAGTTTAGGCTTCCTATGGCAACAATGGCATTTATTAGGATTTTTGTTTGTAGAGATAAACTCAGAAGTCTGCAAACAGTGATGCTTTCTCTGACACATAAAAATGCCAATAAAAACAAAAATCCAAATAAACAGCTGATAACATTTGTAGAATGACGAGGAACATTTGCTCATTCTTGAATCATTGCTTTCAAGCATCATTTGTAGGGATCTTTAGAATATTTTTTATATATTTTAGGTGTCCTTAATATCTGCTGGAGATCTCTAAAATGCACACCAAATACCATTCTGGAAGCTGCATGTTTCCCTAACTGCAGCTTCCGAACACTTTTCAAGGGCAGCCCCATGAAATCTAATTACACTAGTCTAATCTGAAGTTAACCAAGGCCCCACCTACAGTGCCTTATAATGCAGTTTCAAAGTGCAGTTTAACTGCATTGAACTACATTATATGAGTCTCCATTGCCAAGGCATAAATCACTGTGGCTAGATACTAACAAGTTGTTGTTTTTTTTTTAAAAGGAGAGGGGAAAAAATTGTGAGCGAGGACTAAATTACTTTGTTAAAAATGATAATAGTTCAAGTTCTGAGTGAACACAACAGCAGGATTCTTTAGAAGTGGCAGCCTGCGTACTTAAGGATAACTATCTCCCATTTTTGAGCCACTGGATGGATTTAACAATGTTTGAAGCATTTGAAAGATACATGTATGCAATCTCAAAATGGCCATATATTTAGATATTTGGTCTACTTTTATTTTTGGTGGTTCAGAAAATCTAGCAAACCACTTCCCCATCAAGTCTAAAAATAGCAGTGTTTGGGAAGTTTTTTAAAAATATTGTTTCACTTACCCCCAAATATTCCCTCCCAGAAATGTTTATGGGTGTTTCCAAGGTTGGATCTGCACTGCCATATAATCCAATTCAAATCAAATAATCTGGATTATCTGATTTGATAATCTGGATTATATGGGAGCATAGACCCAGTCAAACAGTTGAGTCATTCAGGTTGAGTCACAACTCAATGAACAAGATGTGAAAGAAATCAAAGAGAATGGACACAGGGTGCATCTACACTGTAGAATTAATGCAGTTTGACACCACTTTAACTGCCATTACTTAATGCTGTGGAAACTTGGGAACAGTAGTTTGGGCTGGATCTACACTGCGACGTATTCCAGATTATCAAATCAAATAATGCATATTATAGATTACGGATAATGGATTATGGATAATGGATTATGGATTTTGGCCTGCATAAATAGGAGTATAGTGTCTAGATCCAGGGAAGTCATGCTACCCCTGTATTCTGCCTTGGTCAGACCACATCTGGAATACTGTGTCCCATGCTGGGCACTGGAGTTGAAGGGAGATGTTGACAAGCTGGAATGTGTCCAGAGGAGAGCGACTAAAATGATCAAGGGTCTGGAAAATAAGCCCTATGAGGAGCAGCTTAGAGCTGGGCATGTTTAGTCTTCAGAAGAGAAGGCTGAGAGGAGATATGATGGCCACGTATAAATATGTGAGGGGAAGTCATAGGGAGGAAGGAGCAAGCTTGTTTTCTGCTACCCTGGAGACTAGGACACAGAACAATGGCTTCAAACTACAGAAAAGGAGATTCCACTTGAACATGAGGAAGAACTTCCTAACTGTGAGAGCCATTCAGCAGTTGAACTATCTGCCCCAGAGTGTGGTGGAGTCTTCTTCTTTGAAGGCTTTTAAGCAGAGGCTGGATGGCCATCTGTCGGGGGTTCTTTGCAATTTTCCTGCTTTTTGGCAGGGGGTTGGACTGGATGGCCCATGAGGTCTCTTCCAACTCTATGATTCTATGATGCTATATTATTTGTATCAGATTATGTGAATATACACTACCATATAATCCAGTTCAAAGCAGATAATTTGGACTTTATATGGCAGTGCAGATGGGGCCTTGATGAAACATCACTTTTTGGCAGAGAATGCTAAAGACCTTGTGAAACTACAGCTCCCATGATTTCACAGAACTGAGCTATGGCAGTTAAAGCAGTTCCAAACTGCATTAATTCCCAAATGTGCCCAGAGAAGCTTTAGGGCTGAGAAACTACAGGGCTGAGCCTGACCTCATTTTCATCTTCTTTCCATCCATCTCAGCACACCCAATGCATTCTAAGCACACCCAATGAATTTTGCTATCAATGGTTCCAGGAAAAGAGAAAAACAAAACACAGGCTTCGAAGGGGTTAATACATAAAGCAGAAGGCACCTCAACTAACCAGGAAAGCATTTCAGGCGACACATCCCATGTCACATAGTTTTGTTTCGAGCTCCAGCTTTAATTATAAGATGTCATGTAAAATGATGACATAGTCTTATAATAGGCACATATAATGCACTAATCTGATATTATATCTTGGCTTTCAACAATAGACACAGTGAACCAGCCTAAGCTGCTAGCTCATCCTGGACGTATCTGTACGCTCCACCTAGATACTTATCGGTCTCTTTAATTAAGTGGAGGGAAACATCTTGAGGCCATGCCCATAAAGCCAGAGTCTGGTGAGAGCAAGCTGCCAATAATTCTGACTCTCACAAACATGGGGTCAATTTTAATATTTGTTTTTTTCCCTCCAGAATTTGAAAAATTACTTTTTGGACTACAACTTCCAGAAATTTCCATAAGTGTTGATGGGGTTTTGAAAAGTGTAGTGTCACTGCATGTAACTTTTGCAACTTTTGCATTTTTTTCCGGCCTCTCTCACCTCCCCTTTGGAGGTCTACTGTGAAGTAAAGAAAATCAAGGAAAACAGCGGAATCTTTCAACAAAATAATGTAATCTGTATTTTTCATTGTCTAGAATTCCAGTATCTCCCTTCCATCTCATTTCCACTTCTGGTTTTGCATTTCTACTCTAATAGTCAAGCAGCATTTAGTAGCTGAAACCACTTCATAACATGTTGTGTCTCTTGATTTCAAGTGTTTCCCCCTTAATATGTTTAAATATTATTATTATTATTTATTTCGTGTACTTCTACCCCGCCCTTCTCAACCCCCGAGGGGGGACTCAGGGTGGCTTACAAACAGGCACAATTCGATGCCTACACCATAATACAAAACGTATAAAAACAGCAATTAAACAGTTATAACAATTAAAACAATTTATATATATAACAATTAATAACCAATCTCATGCTCAGCATTCGCCAACTCATGGTCCATACTTCATTCCACATAGTCTATTCCTATCCGTCGTCGTAGTCCTTTATTTATCTGCCAGATTGCCCAAGCGCCTGGTCCCAAATCCATGTTTTTAATTTCCTCCTAAAGGAAAGGAGGGATGTTGCTGATCTAATTTCCCCAGGGAGTGAATTCCATAGGTGAGGGGCCACCACTGAGAAGGCCCTGCTCCTCGCCACCGCCAATCTCACTTGTGATAGAGGCGGGGCCCAGAGCAGGGCTTCCCCAGAAGAGTATATTAATTAGTGTGTTGTTCTCTGTTGCAATCCATAGGGAGAGACAGGTAAGAAATAATAACAACAACAACAATAATAATGATATAGAATTGAAAAGTTGTCATCAGATCCCAAGTGTAGACTCTGCAAGGAAGCAGGCAAAACGATAGAACACATCCTCAGCTGCTGCAAGAAGATCACACAGACAGACTACAAGCAGAGGCATAATACTGTTGCTCAGATGATTATTGGCATTTCTTCCAATGCCCTTCACACGCCTTGAACCTGCACATATTATTTGCCAATACATCACACAGTCCTATACACTTGGGAAGTGTCCAACGTGTGATTAAATATAAAAGCCAGCATAGTTATCTTGTTTGCTGTGTACTAATCTTGTTATGTATCAAATAATAATAATAATAATAATAATAATAATAATAATAATAATAATAATAATGCTTCTGTAAATCTCAAGGTCTCCTTTTTTTTTTTTTTTTGCAAAACCTGCTGCTACCTTCCACTGTCCGAAGATGACCTTTCACACACTCAGGCTGAATATTATAAATGGAGGGTGTGAATGGCATGAGAAGAAAAGCCAATCATTCTCTTTAAATGTCAAAACTTCTTTTGATTCCAATAGAGACTGAAGAAACCATAGCAGATAGCAAGGTGTGTGTGTTTGGGAGAAAGCATCACTTATTCATTCATTGCATTTACAACCTTTCCCCACTTTACTGCTCTAAAAAAAGAGGGGAGGGGGCTCTTCACATAAGATTGATTAGCAATATAGAAACAACACAGAAATGGAGAGCTACCTAAGTGTGTTTTTCCTCTGTTGGTGACTGAAACAGAGAACAGGGTTTGCATTGTTAGATTATTGTGATCTTTTTGCCTGTTGTGAGCTGTATGAGCTATATGTGGCAATGGCTAATGTATTGGATTGGGATTACTTGTCCAGATTATAATTCTGATTGAGACTTTGTGGGTCACTTTGGGGGCGGATCACTCACTCTTAAATGACCTAACTCACAGGGTTGTTGCAAAGATGAAGAGAAGAGCCCACTGGAGGAGGAGTGGGATGAGGAGAAAGATGAAGATGATGATTTTACAGTCAGCCCTTGATATTTGCGGTGATTGGTTTGTAGGAACCCTGTGAAAATGAAAAAAAAACCCCATTATAAAACAATTATTTTTTTACCCCAGAGGTAAGTTTTTAATGACTTAGCTTTCTGTTTTTCAAAAACGAGCATGGGATCATTTTATGTTGCAGTTTTACATCTTTTTTCATATGTACAATGTTACAACTGTATTGGTAATAAATGAGAGTAATTATACTTTTTATAACTCAACATGGTGTGTTTATAAAATGAATTAATCAAAATACATTTTGCACTAGATAATAAATAAAGTCCAGCCAAACCAATGGTCTATTTTTTAAATCTGGGATAAAACCTAACTAGGAATCTCTAGGGCTGGATCTACACTGCCATATAATCCAGGTTATCAAAGCAGATAATCCAGATTATTTGCTTTGAACTGGATTACCTGTGTATACACTGCCATATGGTTCTCTGGTTACTAGTTCAATTCAAGCCTTGTTTTAGGATTTAATATATATCCTGGATGTTTTCTATGTTCTTATTTGTGTACTCTTGTTCAAGTTTTGACGAGTTATACCTTCTTGCTTGTGGACTTAACCAGTACCTGTGTTTTTGGCTGTTCCTGGACATTGTCACCTCTGGAACTTTATGAGACACTTGGTGCCCTTCTACATAGCAATATAATCCAGAATATCAAGGCAGAATAACCCATAATATCTGCTTTGAACTGGACTATCTGAGTGCACACTGCCATATATCCCAGTTTAAAGCAGATAATGTGGGATTTTATTCAGCTGTGTGGAAGGGGGCTTGGATTATTGTTTGGTTAACACCTGTTGTTGCTAAACCTTTTTGGATTATATTTCTTATTCCTGCTTTTTAATATGCTTTTTATATGTTTTACAATAAACTACTAATATTCCTGGTTGCCTGTGTGGTACAGTGGTCATAGGTGTTTCCAGGCCTGGAATGTAACACTGGTGTGATAATTCTGAAAATTGATTATTTTGGGAGAAAAGGCAAAGAACATGTGATTAGGAATGACAAATAGAACTACATGCTTTACAGTGCTACAGGACTAAATGCCCCAATAATATGATCCCCCCTTCAAATGGGATATGGTCCATAGTCTGTGCTAAAACATCCAGTAGATGTTGATCACAGAATCACAATGGAGGACACAGAAAATTCATGGTTTCTCCAGCTTTACAGGGACCCTGTCCTTAATCCCAGCAAATGTGGAAGGCAAATTGTACTGTTTTCAATTTCTGCCCTATATTGTTTTGTCCTTGGACTTTCCGTGGTTTAGAAATTCCTCACAGCCTGATTGTGTCTCATTCACTGAGACGTAAGCCACAGAATTCAAAGCAACTTAAAAGCATGCACAGAACCACAATTGTGAAGCCTGACTCTATGTACAGAACACCCTAAGAATTTCACCAGATTTGTATAATCTTAGCAGGATTCATTGCAGATGGATCATCTCAGCCAAAGAAGCCACAACTTTCAGTTTGAAAGACTTAATTGGAACTGCTGATGACAGGGTGACTTGGAGGTCTCTCATTTATCAGAGAACCATAAATTGAAATCACCCTGATAGCAATTAAAAGGATTTAGGTTAATGAAATCTAAGAAAGGAGAACAGAAATCTTGAATGAACGCATTTTGATTTCTGATCTTGTCTTCTGGAGTAATAGCTATCTCTCCCAATTTGCTGTCGTCTGCAAACTTGATAAGCATGCCCTCTAAATCTTCATCTAAGTCATTAAAAAGATGTTGAACAGTACTGGGCCCAGGACATAACCCTGCGGCACCCTGCTAGTCACTTTTTTCCAGGTTGACTAGTGGGGAGCCACAGGGTTCTGTCCTGGGCCCGATGCTGTTCATGCAATTGTTTACTACCGGAGGCCAAGCAGTGTGAAGTTCCACAGCTCCTTGCATCAATATTACAATGGGTGGCTAAGTGATGTGTTAATTAAGACAACACAGATCTGCTAGGCTGATAAATAGGGAGACAAGATTTATTGTTGTGGAAGGCACCAGTGTAATGTCTGAATCAGTGGGTGCCCACTAGCTGCAGAAATACCATTCAACATTTGCTGAAAAGGCAAATTACAAAATTAAACGTAGTTTCCAAATGTTCCAATTTGGCATGCCACAATTTCTCTCTCCTATATTTCCCCTTTTGTCCTCAGCATATTTCAGTTACTGCAAACGAAGTGCAAAAGCAGTTTGTATTAATTAACTCCACAGTAGGGAGAGGAGAGGGTGGAATTTCACCCTTCCCAGTTGGTTCAGACAAAAACAAACTGTTGCTTCTTCTTCTAGCTCATGGGATCTTTCCCAGTGATAATTTTTGCCATCTTGATCTCACTCTGATGTTGCTTGCCCATGTCCGTCTCAGGCCCCCTCTGCACTACCATATAAAATCCAGATTAGCTGCTTTGAACTGGATTATAACAGTGTAGACTCACATAATCCAGTTCAAAGAAAACAATCTGGATTATATGGCAGTATAGATCTAGTTTTCATCTGTGAATTTGTGGGATTTGTGAAGGCTCTTTTTTAAATAAATAAATAAATATTGAGTTCTAACATTGTGCTGGTTTAAGAAGACATTTCTTCCATCTGCCTCTGCACAGCTGCCAGTCTCATCCCCAGAAATATTACTTGGAGTTTCTATTCCTCCATGATCCTTGCGTCCATGCTGGATTTGAGTTTTCAGGAGCTGTCATGAATCTATTTAACTACCTTGTCACATGGCTGCTGGAAACGTTGTGCATTGCTGTGGGAGACGTGGGGAACCCAGCACCCCACCTCCCACATCGCCCAGCTGCAGATGAGCGTGATCTCATTGGGGGGGGGATGTCAATTGCATGGCTTCCCCCCATGGATTCCAGTGGGAACACTGGAAGCCTCCCGTGTTGCCATGGTGGCAGCATGTGCCAGCTCCACCTTATTTCAGACACAGAGCCCCACTGGCATTGTTTGATGGAAGACGGTGGGTGAAGTAGGACAGAACCAGCATATGCCACCGAAATAAACTCTGGAAGCAAGAAGAGAAACACAGGATGCACGGAGGTGCAGATTTCGGAATGGCCCTATTGTGCAAGGGAAATTCAACTGAAACAGGAAGTCCTCTTCTATACTTTCCTGATCAGAGCTGCATTGGAAGATTCTTCACTGAGAAATTGAGTCAAACTACAATGTCCCCCCCACCCCCAATTTTCCACTTGGGACAACAGTTGGTGATCTCCTGCTCACTTCCACTTTTGCATATTTCATATAGTGTTTTTCAAATACTGTACTTGTATTTAATACTAAGAGGATCACCTTTGAATAGTTTCAGTGACTTCAACTTAATTAGGAGTGCAGAACACATGGCTTTTCAAATGTTCTTGGGATGCAACAGTCATCAAATCTAACCAGGATAGCCAATGCTGAGAACTGGTAGAAGATGTAGATGACAGACAATACAGATACATGTAGCAAGGCTGTATCTAAAATGGGAAAAATGAATAACGAAAAAGAGAAATCTTAGGCTGGATATACATTGCCATATAATTCTGTTTCCGATCCCAAATTATCTTCTTTGAACTGGATGCATATAAATTCCATTTCCAAAAATCCAGTTCAAAACAGATAATCTGAGATCAGAAACTGGATTATATGGCAGTGTAGAATCCATCCTAAAACACAAATTGCAGCAGTTTGCCTTTGTCTCAACTTACAGGAAGGGCAGGGTTCATCTTTTTTTTTTTTTTTGCCTCTTGCTGAGTTAACTGAGGGGAAAATACAGATAGATAATGAAATATATATGTTCCTAAGTTTTACATCTTGAAGAGAAAAAAATGATTTTAAGACAGAAATAATATGGATAGAATAGAGATGGGTTCCTGTACCACATAAAGAGCAGTTCAGTATGCTTAAGGAAATGAATTATTCAAGACAATATGCACATGTGAAAGGAAGCTACCATGACAAGTGAACCTTGGACAATTAAATCTTCCTGAGACCACCCAAAGGCTTTTTTCAAAAGAGATTATCTTTTCTTTCACCAGCTTTTACTTTTCTTATTATTTTCATTTATGTGGCCAAACATATAGGTCTCTTTTTTCTGTATTGCTGCTCATACATGCTCTGTAAAGGAAGCTGGAGGCAGCTGCTGTTTAGCTTGCCTGTTGGCAGGGCACACGAAGCAATAGTAATCTTGGCTAGAGTTGAATTCCATTGTTTCTCAAAACTTTATTGTATTCACTACTGCAGACCTGTTGTTGCAGCCTGGCAATGAAGGTACTCTCCCTCCAGCTAAAGTATCTGTACTTTGCACTTTGAGCTCAGGTCCCTTCCACACAGTTGTATATAATCCCACATTATCTGCTTTGAGCTGGCTTATATGGCAGTGTGGACTCAGATAACTCAGTTCAAAGCAGATATTGTGGATTATCTGCCCTGATATTCTGAGTTATATGGCTGTGTGGAAGGGCCCTCAGTTTCCAGCCACTAAGGTAAGCTGGGGAAAATGGGAGAGAGAAAATGGGGCATTATAAAATCAGCTGGAAAAGTGGGAGGACAGAGTTCTAATTGAGACTATACCTGTCAAATTGGGACCTCTGGAGTTTATGCATCTCGAATGCTACATGTTGCCCCTTCCCGAACATTAACCATTAATTAATACTACTCTCTATTTACTTTCTTCCTTAGTCTCTCCAGTCTGAAATTATCTCTGTTGCCCTTTGAACATATTCCATTAGATTTATGAAGCAAGACATTTTTAATCATGTGGCAGCACCTCCTTATTACAGTGACACAGATAAATGTTGTTTGATTATGGAGGGACAGATCATATCTCCATTATAGGTACATACAATAATGTATCTACTTATCAAACATGATACTTGCCCTTTCTTTTATTTCATGCTGAAAATTCAAGTGGGGCACAGATTTGTAAAATATTGCATTTCAATTTGAATTATTCATAATACTGGAGCAGAGCTCAGAAAAATGAGCCTACATTGCATATGAGGAAAGAGTTGCAGACAAGGAAAATCATGCTTTCTCAGTCTCAGATTCAGGCGACATCTAACCTCCCTTGAATAAACCTTACC